TGGTATCTTCATCTACCGCTTTGCCGAAGGCTTCAACTACCCCAACGCCAACCACTACACCGATTCCCTGGTTCAAAACATATTCAAGAACACCCGCCGAACGAACCCGCACGCCTATACCAACCGCGGTGACCGTCCCTGGAACGACGCTGGTCCCCGCCGCGGCAAGGAAGGCAGCGACGACGACTCGCACTTGCCCCTTCTCCAAGCCGTCATTCTGGATTTCTCTTCCGTGAACAATGTCGACGTAACCTCAATCCAGAACCTGATCGACGTACGCAACCAGCTGGATATGTACGCCTCCCCCCGCACTGTTCAATGGCACTTCGCCCACATCAACAACCGCTGGACAAAGCGCGGCCTGGCTGCCGCAGGCTTCGGTTACCCGACCCCCGTCGCTAGCGACGGTTTCCACCGGTGGAAACCCATCTTCAGCGTGGCCGAGATCGAAGGCAGCGCCTCTGCCGCCGCCCACGCCGAAATCGTCGCCAACCAGCGCGAGCAGTCCCACCACAAGAACGCGGATATCGAATCCGGCCTCAAGTCCGATTCCAACACCATCGCACGTGAGACCGACGGCACCGAGACCGCGTCCGAGAACTCCGAGGTCATCCGCGAGGACAAGTTCAATCGCGATATCACGGATAGCCAGGCGTACCAGCGTCGTCCTAAGGTTGCGCTCGTGCAGGGCATGAACCGGCCTTTCTTCCATATCGATTTGACCAGCGCTCTTCAAAGTGCCGTTGCCAATTCTTCGGACGTGATCCCGCACACTGAGTGATTGTTCTTTCTGCGTTCCATTTCTTCGATTTGCACTGCATCTATTGCTTGCTACCTCTATGCATCGATCAGTTGTTCCTCCCTGGCTTGGAGTCTGATCTGATATACCCCGATTATGACCTGTTAATATCATGTTCGTCCTGGTCATTTTTTATTGTCACATTTTCACCTCCCCTATACCTTTGTCACTTAGCACTGTCTATATTGGATGTATTCCATGGCAGTGACCATGGACATCCTCTTGTTGTGGTATATTCTTTCAGCACTATTCCCTTGGCTTGCGTGTGTTGGTTTATTTGGTCTGGGTCTTGTTTGTTGACCCTTTTGGATCTGGGAAGAAACGGATTGTTTGGAATGGACTTGGCTCCTACTTGATTTCTTCCTAGGGAGATACATACCCCTTTTGATTGTACATCTATCTTTGATAGACCTCGCTTGGTGAATTTATTCCACCTTATCGTTTGAACATGGCCTGTGTAGTCTCTCTTACATTATAAACCACAAACCTTAAACCTTAAAGCTAAAGCCCTCATCAGGTTGCGGATATCTGATACTCTCTCTCACCCTCAACCACGCCCTGTGACATATTCATCTCCACTTCTTCCGAGTCTAACCGCGCAACCCCAATTGACCTGATCCACATATCGGTGAAATTCTAAGCTCTACCTTGTCTTTTGTCTAAATATTTCAAAGGGCACTTGGGCTTAGCGAAAGTTTTAATACTTTAGTCCGTATAAATTTCGAGATATGCAATAAAGGGAAGCTCCGAGGTTAAAATAGTTAAAATAATGAGTCAATATGACTTCCTATTCCAGACTAGCGCCTTCCGAAAACATCCAGCTTATACATCACGGGTATATAATTTTCAATTAAGTTTCTCCAGCAGAAGGATTGCTCAGGTGGATCCATAGTATTCCAGTACAAATAAGACTGATATTTCAGAACCCCATCTCTTCTTCCTCCTACATCTCCCAAGGAGATCCGCAACACGCACCAAAATGGCCAATCCTCAGTCAACAAGCACCGGAATCTCCCTCCAAGACCTAAACACAAATCTAGAAGAAAGACCCGCACGAACAACCCAAAATGACCTCTCAACACCCCCCTCCGAAACAGACATAATGCAACAATCCCTGCTAGCAGACTCGCAAGTCCCCGACGGCGGCGAAGCCTGGGTCGTGATATCGGGCTGCGCAGTGGTAACATGGTGGTTCATCGGAACATCCTACTGCTGGGGAATTCTCCAAGCCGCGCTCGTCAAAGAAGGCGTATCGTCTTCCTCAACGCTGGCATTTGTCGGATCCCTCGCAACAGCATGTATTTCCTTCCTGGGCATTCTAAACGCACGCATTATCCGCAAACTCGGGACGCGCACATCGGCCATCGCCGGCGTCTTCTTTCTAGGTCTTGGGGAGGTGCTGAGTGGGTTCTCGGCTATGAATATCGGAGGGTTGTTTGCTACTGCTGGTGTTGTTATGGGTATTGGAATTAGGTGAGATTGATCCGGTCTGGAATTTCTGGGGTCCATGTATAGATAGTATACGTGGATGCTGGTTATATGCTATATACCAGAGCCCATGACTGGAAGACTGTAGCACACTGTTACTGTTACTGACCAGCACTACAGTCTCTGCTTTATGGTCGTATCCGTCACACCGGCCCAGTATTTCCGAGCGAAGCGCGGAATCGCGAATGGCATCGTCTATGCAGCGGGCGGACTCGGCGGTGCTGTTATTAGCTTCGTGATGAATGCGCTCCTCGAACGCGTGGGCGTGCAGTGGACGTTCCGGATTATCGGGTTTGCTACTTGGGCTACGGGCTTGCCGGCTGCGTATTTGATCAAGCAGCGGGTTCCGATTCCGCCTTCGGCTGTTGTGGATTGGTACGTTCTACTCCTACATTACTTATTTTGCTTCATTGCTTTTCGTTTTGTTATGCTGTCATCGTTGATTCCCCAGACTAACGCCCTCTACAGGCGTCTATTCCGCGACATCCGCTTCGTCCTCCTCTTCGCAATGGGTGCAATCGCCACATTCCCCCTCCTGGTCCCACCCTTCTTCCTACCTCTCTTCACTGCTTCGCTGGGAATGTCATCCGGCACTGGAGCGGGTATCGTCGCAGCATTCAATTTTTCCTCTGCGCTGGGGAGATTACTTTGCGGACTCTGCAGTGATATGGTCGGACCGCTGAATACGCTATTCATTTCTCTTCTGCTAAGCGCGCTGAGCATGCTGATTATCTGGCCTATATCAACTTCGCTGGGGCCGTTGATCGTCTTTGTTATTGTTAATGGTATGGCGAACGGGGGATTCTTTTCAACTATGCCTACTGTTGTCGGGAATACTTTTGGCTCGGCGAGGGTGTCTGTTGTTATGGGGATGGTTGTGACAGGTTGGGCTGGGGGTTATTTGCTTGTAAGTTGACTGGCTGTGGTTGCTTTTGAGGTTTTATATACGAGCTTGCGGTACTGACTATCCTTTATAGGGCGCCCCCATCGCTGGGTTTATCCTCGATGCTGCTGGCGGGGGGGATAAGGGGATCACGGGTTACCGTCCGGCTATTGTCTATGCTGGTGTAATGGCTCTAGTTGCTTCTCTTATTGGGCTTTCTATTCGGTTGAAGACTGATATGAAACTGCTCAAGAAGCTCTAGGGCCAGGTGGGTATGTAGTTATGGGGGAAAAACCAACATTGTATGATTTTAGAAAGTACCGCACTGTCGAATAATAGAATTCAAATAGATTAAATAGACAAATAGACAAATCAACAAAATAGAGAAAAGAGGAGTTCACAACAAGCGAGGCATGTAGATGGCCGAGGTTCAACGGGCCCCATTCTTCAAGTACTGCGAACTACGCCGCATCCGCCAGAACGTCAACCTCAGGTCTTTTTCTTATATTCAGCTCTCTTTCCCTTCTACAGCTATCTATAAAAAATTATTCAGTTCAAAATGACTCTGAAAGTAGTCAACTGCCTGAAACGCCCAGCACTGCACCTCAGAAGTCTGGCCATTCCTCCAGTATCACCAATCAAATCATGCATTGCACAATATAGCTCCCACTCACCAATGGGATCAACAACCGCCATCACACGCAAAAAAGTAACAATCCAAACCATCCAAAGCCTCTACAAAAAGAACGAACCCATCACAGTCCTCACAGCATCCGATTTCCCTAGCGGCCATGTCGCCGACACAGCCGGGATGGAGATCGTCCTTGTAGGCGACAGCCTCGCAATGGTCGCAATGGGTATGGAAGACACAAACGAAGTAACAATGGACGAGATGCTCCTCCACTGTCGCAGTGTGAACCGCGCCGTCAAAAGCGCCTTTACAGTAAGTATACCTATACATGCATACATGCATACCCTATACCAACATTGAATACTACACCCTACTCCACCCCACCAAAACGCATCTTCTCACAACCCGATAGATCGCAGACCTACCCATGGGCTCATACGAAACAACCCCAGAAAAAGCCCTAACATCCGCAATCCGGATGGTAAAAGAAGGCGGGATGAAGGGCGTGAAACTGGAAGGCGGAGCGGAGATGGCATCTACGATCCGCAAGATCTCGCAAGCGGGGATCCCGGTCATGGCGCACATCGGACTAACGCCGCAGCGACAGCACTCGCTGGGCGGGTTCCGGGTGCAGGGCAAGTCCGCTGCAGGCGCGGTGAAACTGCTGCGGGATGCATTGGCTGTGCAGAAAGCCGGTGCTTGTATGGTTCTTATTGAGGCTGTGCCGCCTGAGATTGCGGCTATTGTTACGCGGCGGCTGAGCGTGCCGACTATTGGGATTGGGTCTGGGAATGGGTGTTCGGGACAGGTGCTTGTGCAGGTTGATATGTTGGGGAATTTCCCGGAGGGGAGGTTTTTGCCGAAGTTTGTTAAGACTTATGCGGATGTTTGGGGGGAGGCGAAGAGGGGCGTTGAGGCTTATAGGGACGAGGTTAAGAGTAGGGCTTTTCCTTCGGTTGAGTATACTTATTCTGTTTCTAAGGAGGTTTTGGAGGAGTTTGAGAAGGTTGTTGATGAGGTTGCGGGTGAGAATGAGGAGTAATAAATCTGCACCTGGTGTATTTTTGGGTCTTTAGCTGCTTTTCAAGACAATCTGTATATATGCTGAAGGCACTAGCCCCTAGTCTTGACCTTTCATCTGCCGATTTTTAGGATACAGCAAGATAGGAAAACCACCATCTCAGAAGAGACTTCCCAAGTATCAATTAAAAGCATGCAACAATTCAATTCGTACAGAGCATATACAATCCCCTAAACATCACCCACCAAATCCACCGACAGCTTTTAAATAGAATCCAAGATCCCACCAGCCGATACTGCTTTCACCTCAAAACACCCCCAACACCAGCCCACCCAAGCACAAACCCACTAAGCGCCTCACTCATAACACCACCACCAAACCAAACATCCCTCCAAGCGCCCTTGCGGAGAATCTTCCTCGGACCAGCCTTCCCACCAAGCTGCATGCGCACAGCCTTGCTCTTCTCATCCATCTCAATAACACCCTCGATCTCGCCGGTGTTACTACCAGGGAAGAACGAGCCGGCACCTGCACCGCCGGAGCGGTGGATCAGCACTGCGTGGAAGAGCCCTGAGACCAGGATGGTGCCGAGGAAGTAGAAGGCGAAGCCGTAGCCTGATTGGAGGGCTAGGACTCCGGCGGATAGGCCGAGGAGGAAGGAGGTTAGGCTGTGGAGGGAGGAGAGGACCTATTCTCCATTGTTAGTTGGGTGCATATTTAGAATGGAGGATGTGGATGCGGATCTGGTATTGGTGTAGGGAAGATGGATGTGGTGCGGGATAGGGGTGGTTGGGTGGGATGTGGGAAAGTCATACGCGGTTGTTGTGCTGCACGGCCTCGGGTACGAGAGGGGTGATCAGCAGGGAGAGTTCCTGCTTTGTTGGAGCCATTTTGGCTGTTTTGGTTTCTTTTATTCCCCGATCTGGTGTAGTTGATGTTTGGATTGAGATCGAGCTATGGCTCTCGGTATTCGTCGCGAGTAGTGATCACGTCTCGAGCGGAGGTTTGTTGGGTTTGTCCAAGATTGCAGGGCTTCTGCTCTTCAATGGCGATGAAATTGTTGCACCGGAATAGGATATTCTCGTGGAGGGGTGGTCACAGCAGCTTTCGGCTTGGACAGACGGAGGTCGGAAATGGCTGCGAGTTTCTAGAAGTGCACGGGCCACATGGTCTCTTACCAGATCCAATGCTTCAGACTGGCCCCAAGGTATATTACACTACATTCAACAGCACACTATTTAGGAGAGTATTTAACGTAAATCAAATCAATCATGTTCATATCTACTATTAACCCGAATCCAATGTTCAATAATCCCGAGCCTTTCTCATGAATCCGTTCACATCACAGCGTTTGATACATTCAAATCCCCATGTCCTTGATTATGCTGTAAACAAAGCAGAAAGAAAATGCCAGTTCCATGATGTCGCTGACTTTAAATTCAAATATCACATTAAACCAGATTTTCGAATTTACCATCGACACGGGCCTCCTTGACCTGCTCAAAGACCTAATAGAAATATTAGTGGATGATCGTAATCAAATATCAAGCAACGCTTACCTTTAGCATTTTGTTGCGTGCACCCAAAGCGTTGACACCGCGATCTTCCAGGGCCTTGTCGTCCAGGTCGACCAGTTCCGTCCACTGCAGGTCCTTCAGGTTGTCGGTGTACTTGTGCAGCCTGAGGGATCGCAGCCAGCTGGGGATATCCTTCAGAAGAGCCGGGTCTGTGGGGTCCTCGGGCGGCTTCGAGCTGCCACGGCGACCCCGCGGAGAGCGGCCTCGTGTAACCTCCGAGTGGTCTGACAGGTAGCCTTCACTACCTAGACCAAACTGCCCAATGTTCAAAGAGCCCAATCCATTGCCCATAAGAGGGTTGTTGGGGTCATATGCAGCCAGGAATCCATTGTTCTGCGGTGAGGTGAAGCCCATAGGGGTCAAGCCACCGCCGTGCATAGCAATGCCGGGCGATGTTGGGCGAGACCGTCTACCAGCCATGGCCGCCTGTTGCTGAGCCTGCAGAGCTGCCAGCTGCTGAGTATTGAGGAGCTGACCGGCCACCAAGTGCTGTCCGCCCAGGCCTGGGCTAGCCAAGCCCTGGGAGAGAATCGGGTTTCCATGCGAGTTTTTGCCCTGGCCATCATTGGAGCGAGCACGGCGGTACTTGCGCGCGTCATCCAGAGCAATGCGGTTGTTTACTGTCGACAAAGCTGCCAGCTTCATTGCCGTGGCATTGGCCACCATATCCGCGTGGGTGTTGGGGTTCTGGTGCGATTGTTGACCGAAAGTCGCAGTCATCGGAGTGTTGGTCATTGACGCCCAGCTGTGGTTGCCGACGTTGTATGGCGAAAGCAGGGGAGGCTCGATGTCGGGAGCGGGTATATTGGCGGTCTGGGGGAGAGGCGAGCGCATGCCAGAGGGCTGGCTGAACTGGCCCATAGGCTGGTGTCCGGAGGATGACTTGGGCCGAGCAATCGGAGGCTGCGTGTCTGAAACACCACGCTGAGCCCACTGTTGACCCAGGCCATCCGAATTGTTGTCAGGTGCCGAGATGGTCGGGGCCACGAAAGAGGCACGATCGAAGACTGCGCTATTGCGGTTCGAGGGAGGTGCGTTGCCAGTTTGCTGGGTGAATTCGGCCTTCTTCTTCGCAATGGCCGCAGCAGCATCCGGGAACATCGCATTGATGGTAGAAGGGTCGAGGACAGAGTTGCGCTTCGCACCAGGGGATGGCGGGGGTCGTCCGAGGGAGTTCCGGGAGGTGTCCATATTAAGCTTCGACATAGCATCGCTCAGACGGCTGGACATGGCATCTACAAGACGGAAAGTAGGTTAGTTACATCCGAAAAGGTAGTGTGGACAATTTGTCATACCCTTTTCGCCAAAGTTGGCAGGGGAGAGCAGGCCGGACATCGGGTGACCCTGAGACATTTGCTGCAGGACTTGGATGAAAAACCGGATCTGAACCTGAGTGGTCTGCTGCAGCAAGGCATATAGGGCCGCAGTTCTCTCGGCTTCACTCAGAACACGGAACCATTGCTCGATGGCACTGAGTTCATCCTTAAAGTCCTGATCAAGTGTGGCAGCTGCCATTTCTTCCAATGTAGTTTCGTACTGATCAATGTCCGCAAGCCATTGTTGAGCGGCACGGTCCAAAGCATCTTCCGTCGCATTCTGACCTTGGGTTTGTTGGTTGAAAAAGACCTCCGATGATGGACGGATGCTTCGGGCGGACAGCGGCGAAGGAAACCCGGACATGTCTGCCGACGCCCGCAGCTGGTGCGATCCGAGGTTTCGCGATGAGGATGGAGGACGAAGAGTTGAATTTGATGCTTCAGGAGTGCTGTTCCGATTGCCAATGATATGACTGGCCATGGTTTAAGGCGACGTGTTGAGAGGATGACTAGTAAATACAGTGGGGGAAATGATTACTGCAAAACACCTGCAGGACCTGCTGAGTTTGCGTAACAAATAAAATCAAAAAGTCCTTGAACCAGGATCCAGGCTAAGATCCTTAAGGTATCAGACGACGCTGAAAAGATCCAGATCTCTCGTTAAGACGATGGCACAGACCAGTCCAGTGGGCTGCACCTCGGAAATTTGAGATAGAAAAATTAAGGCCTGGAACGAAAGGAAATTGAGACAAGCAATAGTGTGTCAAACACAGTCAAGCCGAGTCCCAAAGAAAGAGGAAAAGGAAAGAAAAAAGCGGGAAGAGAAGAGGTTAGGTGGAGAGAAAGAGAGAGAAGAGGAGAAGAGGAGGAAAGTTGGGGATGAAGAAGTTTGGTGGAAGAGGCTTTTCTGTTTCAGGCAGATCACGGGTTCACCGAGGAGAACCTCAACATTCTTCTTGACTTCCTCCATATCTCTTCGTTTTAGTCTTGAGGGACTTATATTTTCTTTTCTTTCCTAAACATCCTGCTCATCTTGGTCAAATCTGAATATTTTCTTCAGCCTGGTGGAGACAGTTACTATGAATATCTGCCGAGCCCAGACCTGAAACGTTCCTAGATCCAGTGCACTCCAACTATATTGGATTGATAATGAACTTCCTTTGGTGATCCACGTTTTTGATGATTGTCTCAAGCTATAGCTCTCATCAACAGTGAAAACCACTTTCTATTGAGCTTTGAATCGTCAGTGGCCATGAGTTCCCAGCATTATCCGGACGGGATTCCTCTGGATGAGGAAATGCAGGAGGGAGAGTCGGCATATCCGGATATCGATGAAACTGTTCAGTATCCATGGCAAAATGAACAATCTTTTGATGTCGGGGACATGCTTGCCTCGGTGATTGATCCTCGTTTGTTTGGGGACCAAAATCCACAAACTCAACCCCACAGCATCAATCAATATCCTCAAGATCCCAATCAAGGCCAAGGCGAAGTCGAAGAAGAGCAAGAGGTTGATGACTTCTACCCGGATGAATATGACGGTCAGGACTATCCCCCAGTGTCGTATCCTCCCGTGCCTGGCGAAGGAGCCGTGTCGGACGAAGACTTTGCCTTATCCGAAGACGAAAGCGAGAGGTATGTATGATGATCCACCGCATGTCTGACTTTAGTTAACACAATCCTAGTGAGTCTGATGAAGACGAACCAGCGGAGGATGATGACGATGATCATTCAGGCGCCAGCAGGCGCCGCCGCCGTGGAGGTGGGCGCTTTTCTGGAAGATGGGGCGCTCGCGGTGGAAAGGGCATCAAAAGAGGACCACGCAAGCCGCTGGAGCCCAGTCCGGAATTCAAGCATCTTCATTCGGGAGCTACTTCTGCCTTCATTGATGGAGACTACGAACGGGCCACTGATCTCGTGATGCAGGCGATTCAGATTAATCCTGAGATGTTTGCTGCCCATTCTTTGCTCTCGGAAATCTTCCTCGCACAAGGAGAAAATGATAAAGCCCTGGCAGCTTTATTCAACGGAGCTCATACGAGGCCGAAAGATCCCGGTGTCTGGGTCAAAGTTGCCCGGCTCATCTTGGATCGCGCCGGAGAGAATCGGCAGTCTGCATTGCAAGATGTTGCTTATTGTTACAGTCGCATCCTCGAGGTCAGCCCCGGCAATACCAACATTCGGTTCCAGAGAGCAGCGATCTATCGTGAGCTAGGTCACAATGGCCGAGCCGCGGCTGAGTATGAGAGACTACTCAAGGACTGTCCACACAGTGCCAGAGCACTGCGCCACCTTGCAGAGACGTACATTGATCTAAATGACGTACAAAAAGCAGCAGATTATTATGCGGACAGCATTGATTACTACCTATCTCTCGACCCTGAGGCCTCTGACTTCACCTGGTCGGATCTCAATATCTATGTTGAACTTTTTGGCTATCTCCATCAGCCCGAAGAAGGGCTCATCTCTTTGAAAATACTTGCACGTTGGCTTCTAGGTCGCGGACAAGACTCAGTGTGGGACGGTCACGGGGATGACGACAGAGAATGGGACGCTGATGATTCGCCTCGACGCATCAAAACCGATGGTTTTCTGCCCGATCAGTGGCCTCGAGAGTCGTATGGGCTTGGTCTTCCGCTGGAGCTTCGGATAAAAATGGGTGTTTTCCGCCTGAAAATGGGCGACAAGCATCATAACGAGGCATTGGTGAGCTTGGGCCCAGGTAGCGATGATGATTGAATAAAAGTACTGACAAAATACAACCAGCATCACTTTGAATGGCTTAACCCAGACGACGATTCTGAAGGTGCCCGGATCTTCGACTATGGTGATCTTTTCAGGGAAGTGGCAGATGCTCTAAAACAAGCCGGTCTCTTCGAAGAAGCACTCCGATACTATACGCCCATTCAGCAGACCGCTGAACATGCCGATATCAGCTTCTTCATGGCCATGGCTGATTGCTGCATGCAGCTGGGCAAGATGGAAGATGCTGAAAGCTGTTATCTACTCGTCGCTGAACACGATGCTAGTCATATGGAGTCGCGAGTACTACTAGCGAAGCTATATGAGAGCCTCGGGATGAGCGAACAGGCTATGAAGTATGTCGGCGAGGCAGTGCTAATCGGTCGGCAGGAAAATCGCAGCCGGGGAAGAAGAAAGGACACCAGACTTGAACAGCTTGCCATAGAGTTCAAGATGGCTGGATCAGAACCCCTCCGGTCAATTGCACCCAAACCGACACATACAGCAACACTTATGACCGCAGCTCCTTTTGCCCCTGGCAAAGGACGGGCGCAACCTGGCGAAGGTACTCGCACTGATGATATTCAGTTCTTGTATGCGAAGTTGTTGGAGTTGAATCCCCAAGTCAAAGACGGTGTCCCTCTAGCCATTGAGGATTGGCTGGACATTGCCGATGCTCTATTGCGAGATTTCCGGAACAATCGGGCATTCTATCCGATGGATCGAAGTATTGCCTTTAGGGGATATTCGACTGGTGTAAAACCCAAAAACCAGACCAAAAATGGCAAATTGATGGATGAAATGCAGCAAATGGCGGGCCGTCTTCAAGAAACCATGGGTATGTCACGTCGGTCAGTACATCCGTACACACCATGCTAACGTTTTATCTAGGTGGTGTCTCGGAGGAGCCCTTGCAGGGCGCCATCCCCACTGACTACCATGGAATACCATTTGATGAGTGGCTTGACATATTCTTGCAGTACGCTCTACTCGTAGCAGAACAAGGCGAGCAAGAAGAAGCCTATGAGACGCTTGATTCTGCGGCGCTTGCAAGCATCTGGTTGCACTCTAAGCCTAAGTCGCGATTGATTCATGTTTGCTGGTTCAGTGCGTTCATTCAATTCACTAACCAGTGATTATCTACTGACACCTTTATAGCATGCGCGCTCCGCGCACGAGATGAAGAGACACTGGCCAACGAAGCTCGCTGGTTTATCAAAGAATACCAGTTTGTCACCGACACTTATCGACTTTTCTCTATGCTGAGCCACCTATGTGGCGACCCTCACCGATCCCTTTTCCATTCCTCTGGAAACATGAAATTCATGCTTCGCCAAGTCAAGGCGATAGACTTTACTATGCCACAAGATACCCCTCGACCCATACGGCATTCTGTCTGGAAAGAGCGCGCCACTCTATCCACACGGGACGAAGCCGGTGAGCCCATCACCGCAAAATCGTTAGATATTGCTCTTCTTGTGCTCTATGGCCACATGCTGTACTCCGGAAACAGTTTCTATCCCGCTCTAAACTATTTCTTCCGAGCATACGCCATAGATGACCAAAACCCGGCCGTTCTCCTCTCCATCGCACTCTCATTCATCCACCACTCTCTCAAACGACAATCCGAGAATCGTCACTACCTCATCATGCAAGGACTGTCCTTTATGCATGAATACCGGCTCGTTCGGGAGAAGCCGGGAACTCTCCTAGCCGAAAAACAGGAGATGGAATTCAATTTCGCTCGTGTCTGGCACTCGCTTGGTCTGGCCCATCTTGCTGTCGAAGGGTACGACCGGGTGTTGAAACTTGGCGAGCAAATTCAAGAACAGGCCAAACAAAAGTCTCTTCAAGAATCAACATCTGCAACAGATGATGCTGATGTGGTTATGGGCGATGATGGCCAACCCCAAAAGACTTCATCGCCCACTGGCCAGCCTCTCGTTGAGGATTTCTCCCGCGAGGCTGCCTATGCACTGCAGTGTATTCACGTGCTCAGCGGAAATGCAGAGACGGCAAAGGCTGTTACAGAAAAATGGCTTGTCATCTGATATTAGTTCATGCTTTTACGACCGGGGCCTACTTTTCAAACAGTTACAAAAAATTGATATTCGTTTTGTAATGTGTATTATATGAATGAAAACCTCAAAATCAAGACTATCCAGTTAATTTACAAGCCATTTTTATTCAAAGCAGCCATTATATGAATATATCAAAATCCCTATAGGGTAGGTAAAGTTGGCAGCGGATCTGACCGCAGGAATGTGGGGGGGAGCGCGGAAATGCATCCGGAAATGGGGTTAAATTGAGATTCTTGCTAATCAACATCCATTGATCTCGCGTAATATATAAGCCTTACGACTTTGGCTTATTACTGGCTCAAACATGCCTAATCTACAGGTCAACGTAATTATTTCTTTCAAGTTCTTTCGGCCCTATCTCGCATAAATCCCCTGAACTCAATGCTTATATATTTCGGCCTCGTTGATGTCATTGAGTCATTGGGATAGAAAAGAGCGCATACGGCCACATAAAATCCCAATCACTAGCAAATGACTGCAGAAAACACTCAAAGAGTGGGAGAGCATTCCAGCTCCCAAATTGAACGCCCTGCAGAACTATTGCCGATCACCTCGGCACACTCCAATTCCCCCACGGTCCAGGGGTTTGGTGAAGACGAAAAAGGCCATGATGTCAATGTTCAAAGCTCGACAGAAGAGTCAATAGGGAAACACAGGTATTGGAGACGCTTTGTCGATGTCATTTTATGGACACCGCCGCGATGTCGATGGAATATAGAGAATCCGAGTAAATTCGGCTTGCCTTTGAATACTCTGTTCGCATTCTCGGGAACTTTCACAGTATGGCATAGAAAATGATCGAAATATGCCACAGTCATTGCTAATATAGTCGTATAGGTTGCCAATCTTTACTATTCACATCCCATTCTTGACGTTCTTGCCCAATACTTCAATGTCTCGCATGAGCGAGCCTCACTGATCCCGACCTGCAGCCAGGCTGGATATGCGACGGGGTTAATTCTTCTTTGTCCTCTTGGGGACTTAGTTCGGAGAAGGCACTTCGTTTTGCTGTTGACGCTTGTTACTGCGACATTGTGGATTGGTGTCTGTATCACCAAGTCATTCGAGGTATTCCTTGTTCTAAGTTATCTATCTTCGGTCACGACTGTTACTCCAGTAAGTGGTTCTAAACAAACATATCCGATGTCCTCGCCTGAACACAAATCTTATTATCTATATAGCAAGTCATGCTCCCTCTCGTCGGAGATCTCGTCCCCCCAGCTCGTCGTGCAACAGCCCTATCAATCGTGTCTTCAGGACTCGTCCTTGGCCTTCTCTTTGCCCGCCTGCTCTCAGGTATAGTCGCAGAATACTCATACTGGCGAAATATATATTGGCTATCACTAGGCCTCCAATTCCTCATTTTCGCTCTTCTATGGTTATTCATGCCGGACTACCCATCAACAAACACCGACATCTCCTACTTCAAGATCCTGTATTCCATCATCGGATACTACTGGACATCCCCAGTGCTCGTGCAGGCAACTCTCATGGGATTCTTCCTCTCGGCCACGTTCACCAGTTTCTGGACAACACTCACCTTCCTGCTATCCGGCGATCCCTACAACTACCCAACCCTAACAATCGGACTATTCTCTCTGGCAGGACTTACACCTATGTTCCTGGGTCCATTCTTCTCACGCTACATGATCGACAAATTCGTACCGCAGTTCTCCATCCTTGTCAGTTTCGGCATTCTGATCACCGGCGTTAGCGTCGGTACCTATATAGGCACGTATACTGTCGCGGGCCCAATTATCCAGGCTGCGCTGCAGGATTTCGGTCTGCAGATGACGCAGGTTGCCAATCGCGTTGCGATCTACAGTGTTGCGCCCAAGGCGCGGAATCGGATTAACACGGGATACATGATGGGCGTGTTCTGTGGTCAGCTTATGGGTACCTCTGTTGGGAATCGTCTCTACAGTCAAGGTGGGTGGATTCTGTCGGGGAGTGTTAACTTGGCGTTTATTGGGGCGGCGCTGGTTATTTGTCTTCTTCGTGGTCCGACTGAGAAGGGTTGGGTTGGGTGGCATGGTGGCATTAGCATCCGACGAACAGAGTGATATCCTGCCCTGCTTGGGATTTTATTTTGTTCCATGGAAATATCATTCCTGTTACCATGCTTTGCAATATAGACATAGAGCCTTGAAAAGTATCAACAGCAGATTATATTAACTTCATTTGAGATTTAATGTTCACCTGTGCATATTAACAGCAAGCCTATATAGGAGAACCACGGTAGCTACGTACTAGTTAGATGCCTGGGTGCGGCCTTCGAGTTTATGGAACACCATCGACAGAAACTAACCCTGTATTGCTAGGAGCATGTACGCCAAACTGCCGCTAGCCTGGAACTACTTCTCCTATGCTTGATATATTCGAAACGAATCTGATGGGTGCTTATCTATTTTTATGTACAATGACGTTAACCAACCCAATTCTTAATTTGGGGCCAGACTAATTTATCAACGTTACATTGAAAGCGAATGGTTATCAGTTGATTCAAGGTCGATATCCACCTATCCCTCTCTCTCTTTCTCTCTCTCTCTCTCACACAAGAATGTAAGTAAATATTACACCTCCGGGGCTACTATATATGTAGCGGTATGTACCGAATTTCAAGCCGCGGTAGCGATTTTCCCGATCGGAGTGCCGCCGCTTTATGAGGGCGCTTAGGGTCCCGCTCACTGAGTATTTCATTACATACATATGTACCTAGTTAACTAGTTGACAAGCTGGTGAATTAGTCATACAAACTTGAATTTCCCACCATGGATAGTCCCACAATCTAGTTATTGATTATAGTTATATGCGCTCCGTGTAGGCAAAAAAATATTTACGACGCTATCGCGAGATATTAGATCATAATCTAAGTATGAAAAAGCGTCGAGGCAGGGTAGATTAAATAATTTTCTTATACCGGACTATTCGAGAGACTAATAAAACCGATCTGTCCCTGCTACCGCTTTCTGGCACACTGCTCACACCATCTGTGTCGCCTTCAGCTGTAGACGAGCGAGAGGAAACGCCACTTGGGGGTACGGAGGAAATACCTTGCTCGCCACTTAAGTTGTATTAATATTGTCCAACTGTTGCGGGGCCGGCCTCAACAAAAAGATATCACCCCCAGGAGGGGGTAGCAACTTCTGCACTGCCGCCTCTGCCGTAATATCGCCCTCTTGCGCCGCTGCGTGGATATTATCCGTTGCTGCATACTGAGTAAACTGCAGCTCCTCATATGCCCAATCACTCACGCCACCGGTCGCCGCCGGCACTAGGAAGTTCACTGCCTTGAACAGCGTCTGACCCTGTGGGCCTTTGTACTTAAATAAGTCGACTCCAAGTTTCCGTGCGATTAAAGCCCAGCGTAGGTGTGCTGTGAGGTCGAAGTTGGAGTAGTGGAAGCTCCGCGTGCGCACAAGTTCTTGAGGTTGGGAGCCGTTGGGTGTGATTTGATTATTGATGAATTCTTTTGCGAGCTTCGCCTTGTTGAGTGCAAGAGAATGGTTGCCGGTGAAGAGGGCAAGGGCCGTGATTTGCATGTTTGCGAAAGTGCCGTGGTTGTTCGTTGCACTGGATTCTTGGACTCCGAACGGGGAGTACGCAAGCCATAAAAGAAACTTTTTGTTCCATTCTTGGAATGCTGCCGCGTATGCCTCGGTCCATCCGGGGGCACCAGCGTTGAGGATAGCGACAGCGTCGATCACTTCAGTATAGTCCTGGGAGAAGTCTATGATACCAATAGATCGGCCAGTGTTGGCGCAAGGAATTATTTGCGCATGGTCGAGGTTAGGGTTCATGGCCGTCTTAGGGTCCAGAAACCAAGTATGAATGATTTCTGCTGCATGATTGGAATATTTCGGGTTGCCGGTGTAGTACCATGCGAGTGAGAGGATGTATGTTGAGTTGAATACTTTAATAGAGTTGATCTTGTCTGGGTAGTTGTCCACTTCCGGGTTGCGCACACCGTCCTTTTGAATGTAGGGGCAGCCATTTGAAGTGTTGGGATTAGGCCACCAGTATGGCGCCTGAGAGGCATAATCATGGATCGTGCCATTTGGAGGTGCCTTGGTCTTTGAAGTAACTGTCCAGGGGCCTTGACTAAGCCAACTATCGGCTTGGGAAACGAGACGATTCAAGGAAACTTCGAGACTGTGATCGCCTCTACTAAGCTGCGCCTGTGCAGCCACGAGGCGAGAGCCATCAATGACAACAGTGTCAGGAGCCTTCCGGGAGTTGGAATGTCCAGGATTGGGCAAGGCGACCACAATATTGGCCACCAAGAGTAGAAAGGATATGTATGGAACACGCATGACAAAAGAATAGGGGGTGTATGAAACGTTGATTGAGATATAGGAACCGTGCCTAATGTTCTCCCGTTGTAATGGTTATCATTACTACGCCATCCCCATTATATAGGTCGAACTCAAGCCACTTCCCCGGATTCAATCCAGTCCTGATTCCAAATAAAGTTGTGCCATTAACATGTAAATGTTCCACCAATCAAATGCCACATAAAACCAGAATTGAATAATCTCAATAGCGGTTTATTCGCTATACTATAACGGTCATTTGGGGAGCAACTGACTAGTAGTGTCTCAATTAGAGACCCACTGAGGCCTCAGCACACAAGACGGCCAGGGCTTAACGATCTATTTTTGAATAACTAATTGTCCACATCCGATTCGAGACGATTTAACAGGAGATTACCTGGTTGATCCTTTTTCAGGTGAAAAGATAAACAGCGCGACGTTCTGCGTGATTGATGTCCACCACGAATGGCAAACTAGTATTGGGCAGATATATTGGCTCTCATTATATTTGAAGGAAACTCGCAGTCCCCGAGCCAGCTATGTTACCTGAAGCTACCGCACTCTTTTAAACGATGGGTGCGCTTTTAGCACGAATGACCATTGACAGTCCATTGAAAGTTATAGTCAAAAGTACGAATTTCCGCGCACTTTTGTCAGTACGAACGAATGAACAGGCGGCAGTTAATTATTTCGGAGGGCAGAATATGAGGAGAAAAACCCGGGGGTGGTGTAATCGAACGCGATGTACATTCCGTTGCTGAAAGCTGCGCCGGGCGAACATGAAGCCAGTGCCTATCGCAGGTTTTTCTTTTTTTTTTCATGCCTATTTCAACACCAGTCTTATTATTTTTGCGCTTAAGACCGCACTAGGAGCTGTTTACCCTCTATATTATTAGAAACCAAATATTTATAGAGGGCGCTGCCCCATTTGAGCAACTGCCGGATTCGGAAAAGCGCCAACTTTCACTGTGCATTTATGCTTTTGTATTTGTTTGTTGATCCTACCCCATCTACCCCATCAAGTAACAATTTGGATTTGAATGAGGTCCGTTCGCCGGTCTCGGGGTCAACCTTCCCCAAACCTTCCCCACAGGCGGCAGCTTGTTGCCTTGGCGGTGTTGGGAGGCATCTCATAGGAGTCGTGGTATGATGACTGGTTCTGGATCCCCAGATTTCCTATAAGTCGTTCTTCCCCGGATGGAACATGACATGACATTCACGTAACTTGGAATAATCCACCAATCAAGCAGACTTGAAGAAACCGAAAAGTTTTGATAGATCACAGCACTCGATCAAGATTCAAGGAAAAATTATCTTTGAAACTCAGCGTCACATTGGTCAACGGGAATTTCTGTTCCGCGAATCCAATCAGTTTTCTTCTTACAGATATGACAGTGTGCTCCAAGCTATCTAGATCTGAACAGTAGATATATAAGTAACATCAACATCATCACCACAGCCATACATCCTCTCTAATTCGGTCCACTGCTTTTTCATTGCATCCACATCGGAATACCAACATAATGCCTACCAGACTTCTTGCTCTTATGTTCATATTGGCTTCTGCTGTTCCAGGCAGAACAATTGGAAGTCTGGAGCATAGAGATCTCAGCCCTCAATGCGCCCCCGGTGGAAATTTCGACTTCTCCACCTGGGAACTCCAGCTGCCTATTGGGAATCCGGGCAGCCCAACAACGATTTCCAGCTCAGCACTCCAAGGATGTTCTGGATACCAAGATCTTGGACATGATTACTTCTTCGCGGAGAGTGGAGATGGTGCTTTGGTCATGAAGGTCCCCGGCTCACCCTCTTCCTCTGGATGCGTGACAACACCAAACACCAAATTCTGTCGGACGGAGCTTCGAGAGCAGAATCCGTCGAGCTGGGATCCAAAAGCCGCGAAAAACCGACTAGGTGCTACGGTATCTGTGCCCAAACCTGATAATAGCAACCATGGCACAGTAGTGGGGCAGATCCACATGGATGCGAGCGTGTCAAGCTTTCCAGTGGCAAAGCTGTACTATAAATCCAACGGCGACATCTCGATCGGAGTGCATAAATCGCGGTCAGGCGGCACTGAGTACTATACATCAATGGGAAACATTGCTTTGGGCAAGACGTTCACCTACGAGATTCGATATGAAAATGGCACCCTATCCGTCAGTATCAACGGTGGCGCTGCCAAAGTTGTGAGTTTGGGCAATTTAAATTCACCCTTGAGTTATTTTAAGGCCGGAAACTATAACCAAGGAGACAGTCCTTCGGAAGTGCATTTCTTCAAAATTTCTGTGCAGCATTGACCGAGCTCATGTATGAAAAGGAGTGCACTGGAACCAAAACTCAGTACAATATCGGTTATTACTGATTTAGTGCCAGATGCCAAACAATGCAAAGACATTTCTTGCTAGTTAGTGCCTGCTGTTATATTCAATGTGTGAAGGAAAGTCCGGATACTGTATACGCTTCAAATACATTTAGCATCGAATTCTCCTCGCAGTAAAATTGTGGCTACTAAAATTGTGGCCGAGAGTTGTGACTCGGGTAGCAGAAATTATGATAACTTACAATATTGTAATTGATACTTGGCAATACAGGTGAACTGCATGCAAAAACTGACCATGGGCTAGTCATGCAGGTACCTGGCTAGGAAGAATATGAAGAGACGGAGATAAGATCGGGATTATAGATCTATAGCAAAATGACATCATGATATTTCGGAGAAGGTCCAAGCGAAATGAGTTTCTATGAGTAATCCACGGGGACCAGATTCGGAAAAAGGTGGGTGTGATCTCCACTGGATATCTTTGTTTCTAGCAGGTATAAGAGAAGCACCTACGCTTTGTAAAGGGTGTATTACAATTTATTTTCTCCTGCACAAATTGAAATCGAGTCCAACATTCCCTAGAAAACGAACTATATTTGTGAAACCAAAATGAGCTCCATTTCGATCGGTCGCGGTGGCGAAACGATGCCTTTGGTTGGGTTTGGCCTATGGAGAATCGACAATGACTCCTGCGCCGACGCCGTCTATAATGCCATCAAAGCCGGGTACAGGCTTTTCGATGGTGCTTGCGGTATTGCACTCCATACCATGTTGGTATTATGCGCTTTGCTGACAGATGAACACAGACTACGGGAATGAAGCGGGAGCCGGTGAAGGCATCACTCGCGCAATCAAGGATGGATTGGTGAAACGAGAGGATCTATTCATTATCTCAAAGCTTTGGAATACTTTCCATGAAGCACATCGAGTGGAAGAAATAGCTTCAAAGCAACTGGCGGATTGGCAGGTGGATTATTTCGATCTGTATTTGATGCATTTCCCCATTGCCTTGAAATATGTCTCGCCAGAAGTCCGTTATCCCCCCGGGTGGTTCTATGAGGAGAATCGTGTGGAGCCTGGTACGGCCAGCATCCAAGAGACCTGGCAGGCAATGGAAAAGCTGGTGGCTCAGGGTTCCGTTAAAAGCATTGGAGTATCCAACTTCTCGGGCTCCTTATTAATGGATCTTCTACGCTACGCACGGATTCCGCCTGCGGCTTTGCAGATTGAGCATCACCCATACCTGGCCCAAAATCATCTGGTCCAATTTGCGCAGAAGAATGGCATCGCGGTTATGGCGTTTTCTTCTTTTGGAGGCCTGTCGTATCCACAGGCCGAAAACACCGCACCTGGAAAGGTTTTGTCGCTCCTGGAGCATCCGGCTATTGTTTCGATTGCCGAACGGGTGCAACAAGAACCATCGCAGGTGCTTCTCCGGTGGGCGACCCAACGCGGTATTGTGGTCATCCCGAGAAGCACCAACGTCGAACGGATGAGCTTAAATTTGACATCGACCGCATTTGATCTGGAGGAGGGCGACATGGAGACCATCAGCTCTTTGGATATCGGGCTCCGGTTCAATGATCCGATGCAGGTATGTATACGCAGAAGATGGCAGGTGACACACGCTAACATATTGGAAAGTTCCTCGGCCAATTTCCTATCTATTATTGATCAATTTCCTGGTTTATGGTGGACATCGATAGTAAGAAAGTACGACTCAAACAGTCGTACAAAAGATATAAAGGTATCCTAATGAGAGCCAACCAAAACACAAAAAGCACAATGTTATGGTCAAATCTAGTTTCATTATTTCGCTGCTACCCGGTCCTTGCCAAGTAACCCTACCCCCTTCGGGTGTTGGGTTACCACACCGTAATGTAAACTCTTGCTCAATGTAAATTTTAAAGAACGCATGAAATATTTTTGCATTTTTCTCAACGTACAACGCCTATAAAAATCTAAAAAAATCCTAACAAATACTCAAATAGTAGATATATCATCCATTGGTGGAATCCATGGAATAAAACGGGGTGCTGGGGTTGGTGTATCCTCCGTAGTTAATGGCTTCGAAATCCGCTTTTTCAACCGCCTCTCTTCTTGCACCTGCTCTTTCGATTCTCGCGCCCGGATAATTCGATTGGCATCACCAGCAGTAAGGGGGCCCCCTAGGTTGATCTGGCGCTTGGTAATACGGGCATCTCGGTGGACTTTATGGCGTAACAGGGTGGTATTGTCCTTAGCAAGCTGCGTAGCTAGCTCCGCTGAAATTCGCGCACTCCGGCATAGTAGCTTTGCTCGGTGCTGAATAGATGCATAAAGCTCGCTATCTAGCAATTCGATATCTGCCTCCAATTTACGCGTACTCTCGTTTGTACGAGAGATTCCACGGGGTGGTGAATTGGTAATAGAGCTAGGAAAATCAACCTCTGATCCGTCGTCTTCACCAAAGACAACTAGATCATCCCCGTAATCCATAACTTTTTCAAGCGGATTAAGCACCTTTTCATAGTTAAATGGGGAAATGCCACAATTAGCAAATCCCGACTTAATTACTCGGGTGGTGAGAGCATTGCGAACAGATACAATTTCTCGAAAAAAATCCGCTTTTCGGTCCACCGATCCACCCCATTGAACAACAGCGTTGTTATTAGACTGGTAGCAATGCTTTAAAGCAAGAAAAGGCTTGCTATCTAGCGGCTGGCAGATATGCGTCGTATGGGGTATAAAGCAATAGGGGATAATGCTATTCTCCGCTGCAAAATTGATGAATTCTGGAGTACGGTGGGATCCATGGTTATCCATTAACAAAAGGCGTTTACTACCCCGAGTAGTACGATCCTTAGTTGCTAGATGAAAAGCGCGAAGCCATTGAACTGCAGTTTGATCTGTAGTATACCCACATGGTGTAGTTACTAGGGTATAATCCTCCGGAAGGTTGGTATCTTTATACCAATTCTCCATATGGAATTTACCCCTAACTAGGAACCAAGGTGCCATCTTCCAGCCATCGGCAGCAATACATTCAATGCCGGTAATACCCTCAGCAATACCTCCATTTGGTGAAAATAGAGTCTGGCTTTTTGAAACGACTTTTTGAGGCTTTCCTTGGCCAATTTGGAAGCCAGTTTCGTCGAAGTTGTAGATATCCCGCTGGCTTAATTTGTTGCTTTCGATATACTGGTTTAAGCGCTGGTACCAAGTAGTCAGATAGCCAATATTTTCAGCCTCCATTCTCTTCTTTTCCTTTGGTTTTTGTTTTATAAACTGAAGGTTATGGGTAGGTGGGATACGTTTTAAAAACCGGTATACCCAGTTTTTATCAACCGGCGGACGCGACGTGTTTTCTTCCGCATTGGCGCGTTGAATCATTGAATTAGCGCACCCTTCTACCATTCTAGCAGTTGGTGGAGAGCAAGCATCATCTAATATAGTGATCCAGCTAATTAGGGCTTGCTCTTGATCCGGATTTAATGTCGAATTGGTAGGACGGCGCGTCGAACGAGATCCCCGACCGTGAACCCGGTTATACAACAGATTGTAAGGAACGCCGAATTCTCGCGCCAATGGGGCTATTTTTGGTTTTTTTCGAGCATGCCATGCAGAGAGAACGTTTGCAAGGGTATTCTCCAAATCTGGGTTTTTTTCCGGCATGTTGGTAGGATGTAAAATGGTAGTAAAAATGGTGGGTGGTGTAAAATTTACATTGAGCAAGAGTTTACATTACGGTGTGGTAACCCAACACCCGAAGGGGGTAGGGTTACTTGGCAAGGACCGGGTACTAGGTAACTAATTTTTTTGGTTGACATGGAGTTTTCACAACAATTTGATTATCTTCACTTACGCCGAGTCACTAGAGTTTGATACTTATATAATTGTTGGACTATGTCAGTCATCCCATTGATGCCTTTGTCTAGTCATCTCATTGATGCCTCCATTTGTTTGCAGACTGAGCCTTTCTTTGTTTGGCAGGGTATAAATCCCCTGCTCTAGATAGATTGAATAGATCATGATTCCTCTTCTCTCTCTCTCTCCCCATAGTTAGTAGCCCCAACAATAATACTTAAAGCCGCGCTTAGTTTTACTTAGAGAGCAACAAGCCGCAAGGGATGGGCACTAAAACGGAAAGGGAAAGCCATGTCGCGCTGCCTAAAATCCAATGTATATAAAATCCGATGTATATAAATCCGGCGTATATGTACCCGCGACATGGCTTTCCCTTGGTACCATCACATTACCTGGCTTTCGGGGACCGAGATTTGCATACTATGCTCCCGTGGAAATTCCGGAACAGTCAGCGTTATGCAAAGGAGAGCCCTGAACTTATCGCATGATGAAATTTCGGGCAAGTGGTAACACGACCGGCAATGCAGTGTGCGCGCGTCATGGCTTTTTTCAAAATTGAGACGCTCATGATATACTAACCCGTCGCCTGAAGTGACAATTGTAGAAACGCAGATTGCCCCGCGCGATGGGAACTGGATATCTCCGGGCGGAGATTTTACCCAGTAATAGCTTTTCCCACCAGGGATGCAGGTTGTTTAACAGAGACAACCGGAGGAAGACCGTAGGAGTATGTGCTTGAATGGATTTATAACCGCACTGCCACATCGACTGAATAGATCCAGAAAGTGGATTTTACTGGTTGTGATCAAAGATAGAATTCAATTAACTATGGCAGAGATTAAACATAGGGCTCCTTGGGAGAATGGGCGACGAGAAAGAAAGTTGATTGAAATGAAGAAACCATTCGCAATGGAAGAGGAAAGAAGAGACAAGGGTAACCTGTAAACAGAAGACGTTGAGGATTTGCGAGATTAAATCAGCTCAAAGTATCAAGCAACACAACCCTCGTCTCCGTTACACATTTATGCTCATTTGGAGTTTTCACATTCCTGAACTTTTTGTCAAGCCATTCTAGCCACTCTGGGGCTGAGGCGGCGATAGAATCATCGTGATCAAGGCCCGAATATAAACTAAGATGAACGATGTTGCCGATCTTGCATGCATAGTCGTACGCCTCCTTTGTAGCAGTAACATTCACAACCTCGTCATCGATTGATTGAACAACGAGAAGTTCCTTGTACCCTTTTCTACCGGTGGCGGCGCCGTACTTGTTTTGGAATGCGATAAAAGCGTCATGATTTTGTTGGGTTTCAGCGGGCGTGAAGTCCACAATACCATGATTTGGGAGATCCGCATTTAATTCGGCTTGAGCGGTGTCGCAAAGCTGGAGTTCTTCCATAAGTGGGTAACGGGCCATGGCGTCTGGGGTGAGAACAATCGGCTGGATCGGGAAATTCAGAGCTTGGAATACTTGCACGATCAAGTTGCCAAAGCCCCATCCCACATTCAGCGGCACAGCTGTGAGAAGATCATTCAATCTAGAGCTAGGAGCAATGGCAACTCCTCCGAGGTACTCTCCGCTTTCCTTAGTAGCGACCCGAGGGTTTTCACTCAATCCCCAGACAGTTCCAGCTCCTTGGGAATGCCCGACAGATGCCCATCCATCAGTAAATATTCCTGGGAAGGCCTTCCGAGCAGCAACGACTGAGAAATAAGCATCTTCAGAATTGAGGACTGGATTGCCGTACTTGTGAGAAGTATAGTTGTTTCCTAGGCCCGCATAATCCGTGGCAACCACAGCATACCCGGGAGCTGTGAGGAGCTGCCAGGAGTGATAGTCGAATCCGTTGTAAGATGATGATGCAGCGCAGGCTGTGACAACTCCAATAGTTCCATGGGCATATGCGACCAGACGGAGTTTTTCATTTGGAAGCTCTGTGTAGGGAAGTGCAACAAAGGCAGTCGACGGTACCTTTTCTCCATCAACTCCAACAGATGTGTATTGCATATACCATAACGAGGTTCCAGGAGGAATATCGTATGCAGATGCATTCTGCTGCTCAAGCTTCAACATGTCCCCGGGCTGTGACTTCGTGAAGTTGGTCGCGGTTTTGTAAAACTCATAGTTGTAAGGAACATTGCCAAAGACTTGACGGTCTAATTCTTCGAATTCCCGTAGGTTCTGCTGGCAGGTCTGGCCGCAATTATGCTCCTCGGCTTGGGCTGCAGTGAAGTCGAGATCGTTTGGGCGATTAGGACTTTGAGCTTGCACGAACGAAATAAGTGATATCAAAGCCACAGGAAGGCAATGGAGGGTCCTCATATTGGCGAAAAACCGAGGATTATGATAGAGCAAGAATATGATGGATGCAATCCCGCTGTTATTCAACTAAAGAAAAATAGGGAAGAGTATAGTAACAAATAAATAGAATGGCAGAAGCGCCATGGGTTTTATAACAATTAAGGAATCATAGTTTAAGGAATGTATGTACAACGGCAACTGCTAATTTGAGAATTTATGCTCGTATCCATTTTGTCTAAGCACCACAGTAGAATGAGGTATTTTCTTTTCACAATATACACTTTTCGTAGAAAGACATTGAGAGATTCTATCCTCGTGCTGACAATTAGGATCAAATTAGTCAAGATGACAGAGTACGCTAACTTCGTAGTAGCTTACCCAAGGGCTTTGGAATCCAGGGTGTAGTATCCAGCGTATAATATCCAGCCAAAGAATTCTATATGGAAACCTAAGCTTTGTTCAGGACAATTAGTGCCTACACCTGCACTGTAGAATTCGAAAACAGTTTACCCTTCAGGAATACGCGCTTTGTTTCTCGGCTTGTACCCGAGACGGGACTTATCTTAGTGTGGTCTAGCTGTAACCAACAGTAGACTATTAGTGGACATTAATTTACGGCTTTTCTAAATAAAGACTATACCTGTTTCAGGTACGAGCCGAGAAACAATGTGTGTGTTCTTAAGGGGTAAACTGTTTTCGAATTCTACTGTATGGAAACCTAGGGTAGCATTTACCATTCCCATAATGGGATTCGGGCGATGTGTAGCTATAAAATCTCACCGATAACCCAATTACATGGGCATGCGACATATCTTGGATTGATCCTGTACATACAATCCGTGCTTACTGCGCAACTTTGCGCAATGGACAGGGAACCGCAACAGAGGGGCAGTACATTAATAAAATCCAAGGCAAGAGAGAGAAAGGGGGGAAGGCTCAGGATTATCCGAACTAGTATCAATGTGTATCCACCGGAATGCACATGCACTAAGCTGCCAGATCGCAATATCGCAATAGGTGTGGCCGTGAGCCTGCTTATCGAACTCATTGAGTATGACAGATAAACCTCTCTAACCCACGTACTTCTAAGCGCCAGAAAGTCCGCTATGTTGGAAGCGCTTAGTTAAAGCCTCAACAGCTCATCCGTGCATATATCCGCATAGGCTTTCTTTTTTCTTCTTCTTCTTCTTCTTCTTCTTCTTTTCTCCCGAATCTCCCTAAGTCCAGAGCTCTTTTACAGTCTCCTTTGTTTATAGATTCTCCACGATCAGAGTGCACGATGGTCTATGTCAAAGAAGTACCAATAGAACGGTAACCCTTAGCTCGAGTTGATACTACTCTACCTAATCTTTTTCTAGCCACCACAGAAGAATGGGGTATATCTGATAAATGCTCTTCCTAGTCCCAGAAATAAAATAAAATGCAACTGCTTCCATAGTTGATGGTAACCTTCCACGCCTCGGGGGCTTTGGAATCTAGGGTACATATACACCGGATTTTAGGCCGCGCGAGATGTCTTTCCCTTTCCGTTTTAGTGCTCACTCCTTAAGTCAGCAGCTCACCTCACCTGGTCAATAAATGCACTACGCTAGCCTCATCCAAATGCAGTCGTTCACCAAGCACTCTTGACCGTTATCCCCTCAAACGAAGGGCTGGCCTCATCAATGTGGCGGTTGATCCTAATTGTTTCACCTTCAGCTGGGAGGCAAATGCACAGTGGGACCACGTTTATTGGGATTACTATTTTGCGGCTATGCCTTTATTCAACTCGTAGAGTCTCGCATCCATGATACTGTCTCTACAAAGTTGCTGGAAAGATCCAGCCCTCAATTTTTGGCTCTACAATATCTAGGAATATCTCAAACCCCCCAATTGAATGGATTGTAAATACAGTTCAGCGTCTTATTCTGAATTTTTTTGATTGATTTCTAACGGACTATCGCTCCTGTTGCCTGCCATTGCTCCTAGCTCTAGCGACCTAAACATCCGCAAGGCAGTCTAGATCGGTCATGTCTACTGGATGAATTATCTGCCCATGACGAAATCTGCGGCCTATTTGCCTATGATATTCTAACTAGCACTCGTAAAATACCTCATATTAACTAAAAGAACCTGATACTACCGCAAAGTGGATTAGTGAGACGATAGTAGATCCTGGGAGCTCAAGTTGATAAATCTTCTCGGATACCTTGAGAAATAGCCTCCATTACTTTATGACTTATTGGTTATCCCAAGGAATCTCCCAAGCTATCTGGGAAAGGCAATGAAGAGAACCAGTTCGATGACACTAATAGCAAGACCTTCGGACCTCGCGTGCCGAGCCCCGACTGTCGCTGTTGATCTCATCACCTTTCATTCATCACTTATCACCAGCATCTGAGTTTATCATTTATTCTGCTTCAATTTATCTCTTTCTTCTTTTCCATCACAATTACCATCTTAAGTGCTTCTCATCATGGAAAAAAGCAGGAAGCGCTCCCGTCTCAGTCCAGGGGTTGACTCCACAACACCTGCCTGCAATCAGTGCCGGTCGCGTAAGGTGAGCGTTCTTACCATTATAATAGATATATGAATCATGTAGTAATGTAGTGCCTTTCAGATTCGATGCGATCGCATAAAGCCAGAATGTTCGACCTGTCGCAGAGCTGGTGTCTTCTGCGACTTTTCCGCCTCGTTCAAAAGGACAAATCCAACTAAGCAACTGTACAAACCCCTCGCGATATCTTTATTTTTATACGAAGAGGAATAAGGCTAACTTATACAGGGTGCATGACTTCTCGTCAGTCCTCGGCCGGTTGGACCATGTAGATCGATCGCTGATCCGCCTATCTCAACAAGTTGAGTCGTTGACCGCAAAGTCCACTTCCAGGGAAGAGTCATTCCCCCTGCCTAGCACCCAAGACCAACATGGACCAGACGCCAACGAGGGAAAAGGGAGCTCGAACGCCAGTCTAATAAGACAGGTTTTCTTGACGGGGGAGAGTAGCGAGTATCTGTACGGTTATCCTGCCGCTTTGTGTTTATTCCGCGCCTCGCAGAAGTTGCTTAAGGCAACCCTTCATGTCAAGTCTCCGTCGCTCAGCGGTCCCTTAGCGGAAATTTCGCAAAATGATGGCTTACGGCCATCGCTAATGCGTCATTATGAGACTTTTCCTTTTCGAAAGAGGTGTACCAATGAGCCCATTGCTGGTGATCATCGACCTATCTCGGCGCCTCCTCAGGATGTCGTGTATTCCTTGCTCGATCGCTACCTCAATCACATAAACTTCTTTGTGCCAGTTTTTGAGGCTGATGATTTATATGCCACCATCCGAGAATGTTTCCAATGTGATGGCCCTCCCATCAACCCCGCCTGGCTGGTGTGTTTGAACAGCATTGTCCTGCTAACGTTGCAGTTGGATGCCCGAGTGGCCCGGAGATCTGGCTTCAACACCAACCCGTGGAATACTAACTCGCAGGTAATTTCCGACGCCTTGAGCAACTGTTGTCGAGCCCTAGGCGACCCGCACGCGCTGTCGCAGCTAACTGTGGTCAACATTCAGGCTCGCATCATGCTGGTAAGAGAGACAGCCCTACAGGTGAAACATAAGAATATTTATACTGAATTTTGCAGGCTCTGGTGACACGAGAGTTCTTTACCAACGCGGTATTTGAAAGGGCTTGCTACTCAGCTTGTCAACTCGCGCGGTCGATGGGCCTTTACCTGTCCGTGGGGATGGATGAGAGCACGCTACAATGCCGCGAGCGACTCTATTGGATCCTATACGGCATGGACAAGACCCGGGTTTTCCTCAGTGGCAATTCACCCGATCTACATTTCTTTGACTCCGAGTTTCAACCCCGTTTATCTACCTCGGCGATCTCCCCTGAGATGCATCTCCATGCCATCGCATCACATATGATGACTGTCTGGGAGGAAATCTACATCGGCCTATACTCAGCACGAGCGGTACGCTCAGGAGGAAATTATCGCAGGGATCAAGTGCATCGGTTGCAACGTCTTTGTGATGAGTCTCTACCTTTAATCCCTCCACTGCTGTCCCACAACCCCGGCCTACGTCTGATGCAGCTGGAGGTAAAATATTGTTATCATGTCAGCAAAAGTTTGATTCACCGTTGCGATCAGACGGCCGAGCAACGGCAGATCACGCACGATTATGCCGTTTCGGCCCTTCAAATCATGACTGATGTGTTCGAGGAGCCTGTGACACCAAGCAGCTGCTTTGTCCTGAGCCGGTAAGTGCCCTCACACCCCCAATATCCAGACCCCCAAAGCTGACAAATTGTCCACAGGATGTTCCAGAATTACCCGCTGGTTGCATTCCACGACCTGTGTGTGGGATACCTCACAGGGGATGGTAAAGTCGACTCCGCGGCCATAATTCCACGAATAATGAACCTTCGTCGCCAACTGGGCTCCATAGATCATCAGCAAGGACCCAGCGCATATGTGACGAAGCTTCATCAGGGGGTCGTTTGGTGCACCGACTTAATTAGCATGGTTTCCGACGCGGGTCAGAGTTGGCTGCCGGCGACCCCGTCGACGACCAATGATTCAAGTGATCCTGGAAAATATGCGCCGGTCGGTTATGACTCTGCAACTGAGTGGCTGGAGAATGAGGATAATCCAACCCAGGAGCAACCATATCCGCTAGGATCGTTTCCATCGCCGGATTACTTCTTCGACCCTGCACTTTTTGAATCTTTGCTCATAGAAGGTCATTTCGCCTCGTAGAATACACGTTTTATAATAAATCATAATTGTACTTCTTTATTAATTATGACACTCGCTTAGCCATGAAAGCTGTACTATATCTGAGCCGCCATTATAACCGGTAGCTCTGCACACACCCTTGCTTTCCAGCACGAAAGGCCCGGCAATAATCCGATTAATTACACATCACAGACTCCACATGAAGCTGTAAAAGTCACACAAGATCAGAATGCAACGCCACCAAGGCAGAAAATACGATTCCAACCCTCACATTATTCCCCGCAACTTCTCTGGTGTCGTCTTTTCAAGTTTTATTGGCCGACAAGCGGGACCACATCCGGATTTTCTGTCCATACAATAAGAAAATAACTGGCATGGGGGCCAAAGCGACAGCCAAAAACGCCAGAAGACTAGTAGCCCAAGGAAATCCCAGGTTGTGGTACATAGCATTAGCAAAAAGAGGAAATCCGGCCCCGAAGCAGCTTCGAACAACCGTATTGGCAGAGATCGCGCTGTTCGCATAAATCAGGTATACGTCGACAATGTATTTCAGGCCAGAGATGAAAATGGCAAACATTGACGACGACACCAGCGCCGGTGCAACAACTTCCGCGCCCCAGGACATATGGGGGTTGCTGGTCCACGCGAACCAGAACAATCCAATGGGCAGTCCAATGGCGCCCACGATCATAGGTGGCAGGCGGCGCTCCGGTACAGATTTACCCGGGGTTGAATTTACCTGGCGCGCGAAGATGGTAACGGACCAAGTGAACATGCCCACCAGCCCGATGATGATCCCGACGAACAGACCCAGGAAGGAGAGAGACCCGATCTGAGGCTTCCAGCTGCGTTGCTCCACGAACGAGATGGGAAAGCCTTGAAAGAAGAGGAAGAGTAGCCCGTAAAGGAAGCTCATGTATAGCGTGACCAGAATCATGATGGGCTCTGTTGCAAGGAGAACTATATGACTGGTCAGAAGATAAAATGATAAAAGTCCGTGTCACTACTTACTCCATGGGCGCACGAGATATACCTTCGAAAATGACTTTATCGTCGTCTCACTTTCCTCCTCCATCTTACTATGCAACGCCCAGTTCTTTGTTTCGAAGCGGAGTCGAGCCGCTTTGGCCGTGAGTAGGGTCGGTCCGAAAGTCTCAGGCAGGACGAACACGGCAAAGATTGAAAAGCTATAAGCAGCAATCATCGTAATCCACATGGTCCATCGCCAGCCAAGATAACTCTGGGTGATGAAATCACCCACAATGGGTCCAATAACGGGGCCAACAAAGGCCGTAGCAACGAAGCAATCCAACGAGATTCCGCGACTGATCGCAGTGTTCCACACGTCTGTCAAGGCACCGCCTGTCACGGCCATAGAGGACGCACCAAAAGCACCGCTGAAGAATCGCGAGATCAAGATTGTATAGAAATTCTGTGCGACGGCGATCGGAATGCAGAAGGTCGCGAATAGCACCACACCACTGAGAATGGGCCATCGGCGCCCGTACTTTTCCGATAGAGGGCCGAAAATCAATGGACCGGCAACAAACCCCTATACGTAGAAAAATACAATTGATTAGCTTTGGAAGTTGTGCCAGGGGATGTGGAAAAAGGGGGCTATACAATTAGAAACATGGTGGTGGTAAGAACTGCCAGCTCGGAGCTGACATGGAACTCCTTCTCCAGCGATGAAGCAGTACCACTCATGACACTGGAACCGATGTTGACTATCAAAGGCAGGAGAATGAGCACAAAGCTGACGAATAATTTGTACTTTTGGGACCAGTTATGGGGATTTTCGAGGTCATTCGGGCCGTCCCATTCTACTATCCATGTCGGCTGTGGGGGATCGGGACCCTTCTCTGTATTCTCGGCATTCTTGGTAGAAGAAGTGCTTGACATTCTGTGTGATTAAGGACTGATGAGCGAAAGTAATTTACTGTGCGTTGTTGAAGGCGTTTATCTATATGTCTGACGGCGGAGCTCGGCAGCCGCGCCCGAGATAATGATGTGTGTACGCAGGGAATCATCATTTATGAGCCATTGATTGGTAATTGTAAAAGAAAGAAACTATCAATTGGAAATCCATTTGCCGATCAGCCTTTTGGGGTCGACATCGCTCTCGCGGATGCGTTCCTCCAAAAAGCTCCGGTAGAAGGCACCCCGCCGCGAGTATGTGCTGAATGGAACGGCACGTCAATACCCTGAAGTGGTATAACCGCAGTGCTCCGTTGCAGAGTGATAGGACTGAGCAGTTGTTTAGATTCGGAAACACTCCGCGACGCGACGCTGAGACACTCCGTTGATCGAGGTTGTCGACCAACGATCGGTCCATCGGGAGAGGAGCTTTTGCGATGTAGTCGAGGGTGGCCACCAAGGCAGGTAGATTTTCCAGCTGCCCGAAAATCGTCAATTTCCGCCGCTGGGTAAAGAAAGGTGAAAAAAAGGGAAATGAGACTCGCTATTACTGTACAGACATATTGTTCGCCTTCCACGTTGAAGTTGACAATTTCCAATAGCGCATTGGTCGTAGTCGCGATCACTCCCACCAGCTTTCTCAGGGCAGTCGAAACTAAGGTTAGAAATTGTATTTCTTTCAATGCGAAGATCTCACTTTTCTTCTACCATCCTTTGAAAGACAGGCGAGTCAATGGTTCCTTGTTCACTGAAATGTTTGGCTTATCATATCTATTATGAAGTATATAGTTTCATGCGGGAGCGCCATCGAATGAATGTCTACTCATGGAACTGCCTTGTGTTGAGCCTTGCTTCCGAGAACTATTCTGGCTATTCTGGCCTTCTGGAGGTGGATGTCACTTATCCCAGGGTTCCTCTAGAGTATCCTAGGAGCTTCCTTGGTTGCTATTAGGAGTCTGATACTTAAATTTCACATTAATTGCTAGGAGAACCACACTATATGTAGGTATCACTTGTTGCTATCAATCTCCGCCTTCCAACTAGGAAATAAGAACATAAATCAACCAAATAAAAAGATGTATAAGGAAGTGTAAACAACCCCCTGTAAAGTTGTTATCGGAAAAAAAAGAATGCATCAGGAGGGAATCGAACCCCCCTCGCCAGTTTACTTGATAAGGAATATTTCCTATCTGGAAGACTAGCATCATAACCACTAGACCACTGATGCAGTGGATGTGTTGTTTTGTCAACCGATACGACTCATCAATAGCATTATGGTCGATCATCGTGCACTTCATAGGCGATTAGCCAAAACAATTCAATTCTCAGAATGGTTATACTGATTATGCTATATTTGTTATATAAACGAGCTTGTTAAAGCACCTACATAAATGTACGTATATCTATCTCCGTTGCTGCGTATGATACTATGATATATACTTTAAAGCAACTTGAGGACTATGATGTCAGCTCAATCTAGTTCAGCCCCTTCATTTATAACTCCATTCACGTTCATTTTACAAGGAGTTTAAGTTATATCTATGTAACTGTGCAGGAGTGTTCGGCGTATTGTCCCGATGCAGGGGTGTAACGGTATATGTAGGTTTAATATAAATTGATGATCTACATCTGGATGACATATGATGAGAACTGGAAAAAGAAAATGGTGATTGAGAGTTACTAGCGTGGGGTTAGTTATAATTTGCAAATTGACGAAGACCTAACAGCTTTGGTCAATTTTTTAAAAAAAAAACAAATTTCTAGTGCTGAGAGGCCATTTGAAGCTACTTACATAGGGACTCTCCCCCGCTCGGCCAAGCCGAATTCCAGCAGATGCCCAGGTGATGGTCTTTGGTACTTTATTACAATTGGCAGGTGGTACCTTGAGGCACTTTGATTACATAGAATATATATTTCCCGAAACCTAGTATTCGTACACTTGAAGCTGTCTATGTACACAGTGTAGCCCATTTTTGATAAGAAAAAGAAGAAAGAAACGACGAAATATGTGATCAAGCCAACGGACCCAAATAACAGGCGAAGCCAAAAACGATCAAATGCATACCAATAAGACAGAAGACACCTTGCTATGCTGATGAAGGGGGGTAAGCGGGAACAAAAAAGCAAAGACAACATTTGGAGGATAACGGATATATTGTCCGAAAGTGCCCGCAAATACCCACAAGAGCCGCCTGTCATACTGGAGATTGGATATCCAAAGTAGCGGGAAGTATCATGACGAAAGATAGGGCTGCAGGTGCCCCGAAGCAGAAAGACCCTAGTCTGAGCCATAAACTTTGATGGAGCCGCTCGAGCCGCCTGTATTTTTCTCAGATGACCACGGCGTCTTCGTCCCGATAGTAGTCTGCATCGTCAAAGAAAACGGCAGACTGGCGCCTTATTTCCTCGATCACGCTTCCCCGCCGGGAACTTGGGGTCTGAGGACGTGACGAACCGGTGGATTGGGACATGGTATCTGAAAAATCACCAAAACGCGACTCGCTCTTGTAGCTAGACCCATCGCGCTCGGGGAGGTTGTCATCTAAACGCTCGACCATCGAGTCTGGATGTTCATTTTCTCGGTTGCGGACCCGACGAGAGAGGATCGGGGAGAGCGCACGTCCACCCGTCCTGGACTCTTGGAGTCCTTTCATGATTGCATTCTCAACCTTAAGCCGATTTTGGATGAATTGAATCTTGGAGAAAGTGCTTTGCTGGCCGACATGTATCATGCGGGCGAGCCTTTCGGGGGTAGGATCAGAAAGAATGTGGATGAAATCGGAGGGAATGGATTTTGGCCAAATAGTCACAGTGCCACTGAACTTTTGCAACCAGATCTCGCTCCAGTCTTGGCCCATAGGCCGTGGGAGGAGCTCTAAATGCCGAAGAACTCGAAGCCATTTATTGAGGTCTAATTTGATGTACTGCTCGATCGCAGTGCCGAGGAAGCCGCCGCGCCAACCACGGCCCCTGCGGTGTGTGACTGGTCGCCCTACTGTCCCTCTAGAGCTAAAGAAGAAGAGGTTGATGTGGGGGTTAACCTGGGGTAGTGTTAGTGGCAAAATGGTAAAATGAACGAAATTAATCTTACCTGGGATACGATCGTAAAGTTGACGTTGAAATGCAGGTTCAACGCTTTGATAGGTATATCAGTCCGCAGGCTACCATCCTTCCATTTGTGACCAAACGAATAAGGCGCGAGAGTGCCATCACGCTTTTTAGTCATTAATACAACAGGGTTTAAAATGCCTGGAACAGCCGCCGAAGCAAGCACGGCACTCCATATGACGCAATCGGGGCATGTCAGATAATTGGCTAGGATAGTCGGCGAGTGAGGATCCGAGGGCACGCAGGTGACATTCAAAATGCGCCCGGTCCGTTCGTAAGCTTCGCGAAAGGTCGTTGAGCCCCTGCAGAACCAGGCGCACTGCCGAGCCCAATCCATAGTATCGAACCGAGCACCAGTTCGCCACCAGCGATGGATCCAAGTTGCCAGCCCTTCGTGGCATGCGCGAATCCGATGTGCTAAAGCTGGAACGAGCAGCTGCTTCAGCTCATCATCTGTCCGAGTCGCAACTAGTCCCGCCACCAGTGCTCCGCCTGACGTGCCAGTTATGATTTCTGGGAGGACATCATTATCCAGCAGCGCTCTTACAACCCCGAAGTGGTAATAGGCGAATGTAGCCCCACCCGAAAGACAAAGAGCGGTGCGTCCGAAGTTCGTATCGAGGTGTTTGAAAAGGTGATACTTGGCATCCTTGTCAATCTGCTTATTGTCCAAAACGATCTGTATGCATGCGTGCACCTCGTCGATGTATTCCTGAACCAGCTCTTTGGTGCCCGAATAGGTCTCGCTGTATATCCGAGGATTTTCCACACCGGCAAAGTTGTTCTTGACGCAAGCCTCCAAAAGTGCCCGGAGATCTTCAATAGCAGGTACCTCGCTGGAGCCGACCCGACCATTTCCCATTTCCCATTCCGTATCCTTCCTCAGCTTTTTCAGCTGCGACACCACTTTGTTGACAGTGAGATGGTCGTAGTAAGCGTATTCGTCTGTCTTTTTCCACTGTTCGGTTCCGAGATGGACGTCCAACGCCCGAGCCGCTTTCAACCAGTCCGGATAGTTTTTCTGTGCCCATAGCTCTTGGCGCAGCCTTTCCCTCTTCCCCCGCCATGTCACCCACTGCTCGTACAAGAATATGTAGACGCGCACCAGGGCATAGCCAAAGCTCAGTACTATGAGCCATGCGAATACAATGAAGAGAAAAGGCCATTTCAAAACCGTATATAGTACGCCTTCCCTTGTTTCATCTTTGCTTCGCTTTGGTGTTTCGCGGCGGCCACGACTCTTGCGGACTCGTTGATTTATTGGGCGCCAGTCGTTGATGGCTGTCAATGGGGAGGCTTCTGGGGCATTCAGCGCCCTCTCGAATCGGTCGAGTTCATCGGGTTGAATGAAGTCGCGGTCGTAGTCAGGGAGACAGGCCGGATCGTAAGGGTCGTACACTGCAGGTTTCTTCTCAGTGGTCATGTTCAACACATTATGAATACACCAACGAAGATGTTGAGAGTTTGAGAGTCACAAGTGGTACCTGGAAATCCGGTTGGGGAAGCTACGTTTCACGATCATGACGTTGGTGTCACGTGCAGATCATCCCCACATTGCGGCTAGTGTATTTCCGGAAATAGCTAGTCTCGTTTTCTATTTGCTGAGTCATCCAGGTCTTGCCCCGCCAGATAAGAAATAAAAAACATACCAGAACCATGGATGCCTCGGTAGCTAAACTGCAATTGCTTCCAATTCAGAACTCTGTTGTTCTTGCAAAAATGAGGAAATTGTGTAGATCTACCAGAAGAAATCTATTTAGGATTGAATTTGTCATGGTCACGCAATTTTCGACCTCGCTCGACATTCTTTGTATCGAGAGTGAATTAACTTTGAGAAACTATCTAGTTATGGCAGGCATCATCCCACCTTGACATAGCTGCGGCATTTGAGTACGACAATGCCGCCGCCCGTGCGATGGCATTGAAAAATGGTTGGAATGTACCCCTCCATGCACGTACTCCGGGAGAAATCGACATCCCTTCATGCAATCTCTTATTCAATGGTCCAATGCTCAATTAGCGGGGTCGTCGCGCTCACCTCCCGAGGTCAAATGCGAGATTTCTTTTGTTCCGCCTCAAAGAATCATACTATAGCTCACCGCTACATGGTGGGCGGCGCGAATATCGAGAAGTATACCAGTGTCCTCCTGTGATTGGTAGGCGTCTCGGGAGAGTTTGTTTGTCGCAGCCGAATTGGAGGCCTAGGAAAGCACCCTATGGGCTGTTAGCGGGGTCCAACATTACTGTAACTACATGCATAAAGGACCGGGAAGTGCTTTGTGCTCGCGGTATCGGACATAAGGTACGGAGTAGTAGATCGGAATATTGGCCACCTTTTTATATTATACGACAGGGAAGCGTCATTTCGGTCACCTGATGTCAAAAACGACCCCTTATTCACATATCGAAAATGATTTGCAGCGACTAAATATCCTTAGCGTCGTCATAGGCTGCAGGATTCTTCCATAATTAGACTCGTTTAGGAGAGGATACTCCGGAGGCTTTTTCCCTTTGGTCATGTTTGTGGTCAATGCTGATCATGTTGACCAACCTGCTAAGTTCTTAAATTCAGATGTCAAAAAGCAAACATGCTGTAAGCCATCGCTTTTCATTGCTACTTTGCGATTCTACACTCGCTTATACCAACGAGTTCTAAGCATCATTTTCGATACGCAGCCTTCAGCTTGTCTCATAGCGATACACAGCAGTAAGAATATTTATTATACCGTGTTGCGCGGTAGCCGCTTAGTTTATTGTGTTGCTTTAACCTTTTATGACATCCCTGAACGTGCCGGGAACGCCGACTTTTAGTGCAGACTCATGTCAAGGTTACCATGTTCTCTCTAATGCCCCGCTCTTTGAGTCAAGGGCGCTTTGGCATTTTCGCTATCTTCAATCCAAACTCGAATCATCGTTCCGCATTTGGCCCTATGCAGATCATGGATCTTCCCTCTCGAAGTATATTTTGGCGTTATTGGAGCCGGTGAGAAAGCTTTCCCCCGCTTACGAAGTTAACCTCCAGTACTCCCCGAACATGAGCGGCAAAAGCAAAAGAGAACTCAGCGAGCCACAGTCGGGTCTTGGCAAGGGAATGCGTATGTAATGACCCGTGCCGTGTTGCAGCCAATAAGCAGACTCAACGCCTATGTATGTCCCATATCGCACTGCGCACTTGGCGGAGATCGTCCAAGGGTGGGGAAAATTGTCCTCGGATCTCCGACGCCGGGCAACGACCGAAAGCACTTACTACTCGGGGCCAACTTAGCCTTCGTTGTTTTATGATATCTACGGTACGGAGTACTGGATCTGTGCATACAACATTGCAGTACGGAGGGGCAATGTAGATCGCACATCATGTGCCCCCTCCCCCTTCGTTATGTGAGAAGGTATAATTCCATGTGTTGAACATTTCTGGGGTTTGAGAGGGCATTCAGCCCTGATCGGCCGAAAAGATTGGCGTCTCATTTTGTTTTACGAAGTACGAAGTACTTCTGGAAAGAACAGGGGGTGTCCATATGGTACTTGGTCTCCGTACTCCGTACATACATATGCGTTTCATAGCACACACTTCGACAACGGCAGGGATGCTGTAAACTCCTCGCATGAAAAGTGCAGTGTCCTATGCAGCGAGGCTGGGATCTGAAGTTGAACCGAGCGTTTGCGGCGCATATACATAAATGTCCTGGAATGTTAGCTCTCAATATTTTGATCTAACTAAAATTATACCCCGCGCTCTAGGATCTGACGCAGGGATAAAAAAAAAAGAATAATAAATCATGGCAAATTATCTGTGTACAAAGTTTCGAGGCGCATTTGTCCTGATGCTCAAATATGAAACATACGCAATATAACAAATTCATGTCGTAAAAACATAGTATTCTAAGGGGGTGGTTGTCAACGGTCAACACAGGCCCCCCTTCGGATAGAGATAAAATACATAGAGGAATTAAAATGATGAAGGGGTGACATTGAACCATGGGTTCTAAGATTGACAACGGTCCTTATCCATTTCCCGTTGAAGCGGTGTGGCTGATATCGGGACGGAGTCGAGTAGAACCATGGATGAGATGAAACCATATCTATATCACTTTGTGACACTGTCTCGTAAGTTATATTGATGTCATCAGAAGACATCTGGGGTTCATTTATATTTAAAGTAAAAAAAAAAAAAAACAGTGTCTCCACCAACCCAAAGGGATGTCAGATGTCAGTGCGAGCTGACGGACTCGGACGATCCCAGATAGCGTAATTGCGAATTCTAGTTGAATGTCGCTGATTCGTGCTTTCACGAGGATTCACCAAGGTATTGCGCCAACCAGGTCCTCTGTTGATGCTCATTCTCGCTGAATTTCTGAATGACTACATCCACTATTTCCCTTTTAAGGAGGGAGGCATCCTGCGAGCATGCAGATATCCTCCCATGCATGTGCGCCCCCGCCAATCGTGTGCCTCGTGCGATCATTCGCTTCCCTCTAAACCCTGATTTGATCGCCTGCACCCCCTTCAGCGCCTACAGATGACCAACGACATATTCGGTAAGGGCACAGCGTATGAGTCGCACCCTCGTGCTCTCGGGATTTGCGCTGAAGAGTCAGAGTGGTTAAAAATAATAGATGATACTCCGTACGGAGTACATGAGCCGATAAAAAAATGTAGAAAAGCGGGCCAACAGGAGCACAGGGCAACTAGTCCAGCTCTCGGCATTCCCACCCGGTCTGCATCGTGGACTCAGGTTGCCTGCGTGTGGCTGCGCTGCGTCGGAGATTGATCAACACGCCGCCACCAAGATGGAGACTCATGACAAGTTTCAACAGTTCCCAAGAGGGGTGGGTTTCAACTGCATGAATGGGAAGATGTTAAATTTTTTTTTACTGTCGATCAAAGAGAGCCCCTCGGTACAGGACCCACCGATAGCATATGGTCTGAGTTTCCTTGCTCCACGATCGGCTCATAATGTTGACGCTATGTGCGAATTCTATGGTTCAATCATGCAAGAGGATCAACCCACCACAGACTCGGAGTGATATTTGCTAACTATCGAAAAAAATTTCCCATCTCCTTATAGGATACGGAGTAATAGGGGGGTCAACAGGGTAATCGTTGACTCCAATCGGTTTGATAGACGCGGGACAGAAGTCGGCGAACTAAAATCCTAGGCGCTGTCCCCATAGGCTCGCCACTTCCCACCCGGGTATAGTAGCTGCATTAGTAGCAGATATTTATTTATATTAGTGATGGTTATACGGTATTAGACTAAGTAGTCTGTGTCTTATAAATTACTTGGATAGGTCAAATTTTGGGAAGAGGACAGCGTACATGTAGAGAAACCAGGTAGAATCGGACAATTGCATTCATAAGTAAAGCATACCTAGGTAATATTAAAAATATCAGGAGAAATAAAAACCAATCAGAAGTATATCAGACGACTATCTTAAAGTATGCTCTCAGCTGATAAAAGAAAATCGAAATAAATGTTGTAAACGTGTATTACGGCGTATATGGCTGTGTATTGTGTTATCAGGATAAGGCGTATTATTTAGCTAAATAATTGGTTACCCCGTTCCACCTTTTCCCTCTTCACCTTTTGTTCCTCTCCAATCTCTATCTCACTTTTCGAGGTCTCAGAGAGGAGATCGAGTCATTCTTTGACTCTCCATATTTAATTCTCCAGGTATCTTTTCTCCTCACTCGCCTTCCCCCCCTCGGGGTCCCCGAAATCCCCAATGAGACTGATCAATTTCAGCACACCGTTGCTAACCCTCGCATGCAGAGCCTCGATTGCTCGTTTTTTTCGGGTCTCATTCGGGTCGCACAAGCAAGATGTCGGCTACATCTAGTAACATCTGTTGAGCTATCCATCTTCAGAGTTATCCCGGTCCACCACCATACCCCCTCCCCCGTTGACGCCATGGAGAAAATCAACACCGGGGATGGACAACTTTTCATAAAGGTTTGTGTTTCTATGCAGTAGTCGCCTCATCATTGCGATGACAGAGATCGTCTGAGTATTTGGTCCTATAGATGGCTAATACCTATGGTTGCTATAGAATGTCGCTAGCTACGTTCGCACCCACGAGAAGGCCCTCGCCAATGCACTACAGCTCCGTCGTCAACCCACCAAAAATGCCGTTCCACAATCCCCCAGTGTTCCTTTGACACCTGGTAGCTCTTTCGCCTCGACCTCGTCAACCCTGGCCGCGGCCTTTTCATCCGCAGCATTGAAATTCATGTCGCAGAACGCTAAAACCGCCAAACTGACATTGACTCCCCACCACCTTTTCTACCTTCTCTCCCGTTTTGAAGAATTGACCATTGCCGTGGGTCCTATGAACATCAGGTTGGAGAATATTCACACCGAGGTTTCGCAATCCTATGTTTCATTCCTGAACAAGCCCCAACAGTCCCGGGGCGATCGGGCCTCCATCCATTCGGTGTCCAGTGTTCGTAGTGTGATGTCTGGTATGACCGATCTCTGGTCATCTTTCCGCATCGGATCCAAGGATACCCCAACCAAATCGGACAGGGCTAAGGCCGCCTTGGAAACGGACCTGAAGTACTTATACTCTGCCTTCACCAAAATTCCGTGTCTTCGTCTTGCCCCGGACCACCGTGCTCCTCTGATCTCTGGATATGAAGAATTTCCTTTTGATACGGCTGTGCCGCTGCACTCCTTTAAAAATTTGAGCGCTTTAGAGATTATTGATCTAGACTACCGTTCTTTCTATGGCTGGGACAGATTGTCCGAGCAACTACGCACCTTGACTATCAAGAGAGCCCACCTGGATGATCCGGCCGATCTTTTAACGAGAATTGTGTTAGACGACATCGATAAACGCCGCCGACGGTCTGCTAAGTCCCAACAGTCCCCTTCACTGGGATGGACCAGTTCCAGCAGTCAGCCACTTCACACTCCCGACCAGGCCAACTCCATCTCAGCCCCTGGATCTCCTATCGCGGACACGGCGTTCGGAACCAGCACTAG